TGTTTTCCCCCCTCATGTTCTGTTTCAGACTTACTGATAAGATATTATCAACACAATTGATAAGATGTTATCAATCCATAATAAAATGCTGCTCTTTGGGGTTTGCCTTTTGGATTTTGTTTTTTTTTTAATTTAGAAAAAAGTTGTTTTACAAAGTGCATAATTTGTTTTCATTTTAACCTTTGTTCCCAAATGTTATTCCTTTGTCTAATACTTAAAAAAAAGAGAAAAGAGAAATTTGAATCTTAACATTTTTCCTCTGCATGGCAACCATTCAGCTTTGATTTTTTTTTTCTTTTTTTTCAGATTTAAAAGTTCAAACCCATACAAAGTTTAGATTTTTCTACGAACCAGTGAATAACTCGCCTGCAATGCAAAAATCAAAAGAGAGCATTTAACAGTTTTTTGTTTTTTTTCCTCTAAACCATTTTAGATCAGGATTTTAAACTGGAACTACTTTAAAACAAACAAAAAAGAAACTTTCAAATATTTTGAAATAAATAAATCACAATAATAAAAAGGATAATCAATTAAGATAATACCTGTCTAAGCCTTTATGCAGTTTAATAGTAAAAATGATCTAAATTAGACCAAATGTTTTGCAGTTGTGTAATTAAGTTCTTTAATAATACAATTAATTTTCAGTCTGCCAAATATTTTCCTTTGAACAGCAGCCCAATGTTGCTGTCTTATAAAGACAATTGATGAAAGAGATTCTAGCAATGGACTTTCTGCACACATGGAATAAATGTTGTATGTTTAGGCAACTGGATGTGAATTTTTCTAGAAGTTTTTGCCTCTCATCCAAGAGAGGCAAAATGTCTGACTGAGAATCTTCACAGATATCTCCCTACAAAATAAAAAGTTCAGTTTAGGCAACTGGGTGTGAATTTTTCTAGAAGTTTTGCCTCTCTTCCAAGTGAGGTGAAACGTCTGACTGAGAATCTTCACAGATATCTCCCTACAAAATGTAAATATCTATAAACAGAAATTTAAGTCACTATTGATTTGTGAGATCAATAAAGTATATCTTATCTTATCAATGACGCCTAAACCAGGTTAGTAAAAGCTAAGTAAAACTGCTCTACAAATTATATATGGTTTAATAAAACTAATGAACTTTGCACAAATTTAAAAGAAAAACAGACAAATAGAAATGTTTAAAAAACATTTCCAGAAAATCACACAATGATTCAGTGTGGGTGTTTATGTTTGAGAACTAGGGATGTCTGGATCTGACATAAGCATCAGGGATCTGTCCAATATCAGCCAAAATATTAATACTGGGATATATGGGCCTTCATCACTGAAAAAACAACCTAGTAGAAACAGTCTGCTTCTATCAGCACGTTTGAAGTTTATGAAACCCATTGCCTGATAATAAACAAGTCTGTTCTTTTCATATCCGTTGCTGTTGAGTCATGTCTTTTGATTAAGTGATATCAACTGATCAAGCATTTTCTAACATCCCTCACCACAAAATGATTGTTACAAGTATTGGTGGGGATTTCGTATGGGGTCAATATCAGAAATTTAAAAGAAATGTATATTGACACCTCTATTTAAAACTAAGACTGGTCATAAGGAGTTTGAAATTAGCTTTAAAACTACTAAAAACATGACTGAACAATATGTTTGTGGGTGCCAATCTTTCACAATGTAAAACCAAGTATTTGATAAAGATTATTTTGAAAATAGTTTTTTTAAATAATGATTTGCCAAAGAGGAAATTAACCTTTTGGATATTTTTTGAATAATGAAATAATGAAGTTATGAAGCAGATATAATCATTTAACCCAATGACTTAAAAAGCGTTTTAGTGGCTATGCTAAACAATTAAAGGTTAATAGCTTATTTAACGTAATTTCAAGATTCCCAGATACCTTTAACCATCATTAACATTATTAATGTATACACAAATAGCCGTGGTGCATGACAGAGCCAGTATAGATTGGACCGAGTGCATTTTCTATTAGGTGAAAGCAGCAAGTTGACAAGAGTTAGCTTAGTCTTAAAGGACATTTCCTCACAAAAATATGTTTTCCATATTTAGCTTTTCCCACATAATAGAGATGAATGAAGAAACTCAAAGAGAAGACTCTGTAATCCGTTTTTGTTGTTTTGCATTTGACCAAAGTCAATAACATTACTGGTAGCATTGGTTGATACCAAGCACAGTTTAAAGAGCACAGAGATTCCAGGAGAGAGCCACTGGTGTACCAAACTGTTAGAAATAAAGCTCACAAGGGTAGACTGAGGATCTTCTATTGGGACCAAAAGGTTCTATTTCATAAGCATGTAAAATCTAACACAATGTGAATGTTAATCATATTGGGAATTTTCTGAAGGCTCCTCTTTCCTGATTGGATTTTTTTCTCTTCCATAAATTATTAGGATTTTTTTTCGTTTGCTTTTTTGTCAGTTTTCCCTCAAGGATCCAAGAGCATTTGGTGAATATTCAACCCTCTACCCATAATGGTAAAATGCAGTGATTAAAACCTCAGAAAACACCTCCTATCTCAATAAAAGGCTCATTTTCAGTTTGTCTGTAACATTTGCAAGTTGGATTGTTTGCTTGGCATGTTTCTGTTCATCCTGGATTCTGGATTGGTTTTCTGACGATACTTTCTTTGTCACTAAAGGTCCAAGAGAAGCAGCTACCTGGTAGCATGGCTGAGTTGACTCCTCTGTCCTTCTGTCAACCCTACAAAGGCAGGAGCACAGACTCCACCCTCCTCCACCTCGGTGCTGCAGAAACACTGTCCCTCCGCAGCTCTAGCCCTCTTGCCCAAAAACTCCTGACTCACCTGGCAGAGGGAGGAGGGTCTGACCTGTCCTCTCTCAGTCCCTACATGCTTCGTCTCTCAGGGGCGGGGTTTGCCTACTACGCTCCTGGACCGGAGACTCCTGTGTGAGGGGAAATGGATGTCTATATATAAGAAAATGTCATTAAGTTTCCAATTGCAAGGATCGAAATTTATAGAAAACATTCATTTAATGGATTGTCCATGTTCAGTTCATCATATCCATTTTGGATCAACCTTAACAGACAACCTTTTCCATGGTGGCGCCCTAAACCTTCATAGTTTCCTGTCTTGACCTCAGTCACATCAAAGTTCCCTTTCAAGCTCCTAATCACAGCAGTTTGAGAACTAAAGGGGAACTCTGAGGAACTGTTGTTTTCTTTTCTGTGACTCATACTTGTTTTGTTTTTTTTTCCCTGCCATTGCTTCTTCCACCAACTTTCATGTCCTATTTTGTAAATGTTTGTCAAAAAAAAAGAAGTTGTTGTTTTTGAACACTCTGTAGTCTGGCCAAGTAAGGGGGTAGCCGTCTTGCTCAGCCCTTTAGGTATGCGTGCGCGTGCATGTGCTCTATAAGAACGCATGATTGCCTGTTCTTTTTTTTTTGTACGTTTGTATGTGACACACACCTTTACACCTTTGCCTTACAGGTACGCAGGAGAAGAGGGAGCTAAAGGAGGAAAATGTGAAAAGGAATTGGTGTTTCCACAAAGCCTTAGAAACACATTATTTATTACAGTGCTTTGCTAAACTATTCATACCCTCGGGACTTTTAAAGATCTTTAACATCAGTGGTGTTTACTGGGTTTTTTTATGTGATAGACCAACACAAAGAAGTAAATAACTGTAAAGTGTGAGAAAAATATTACATAATACAGAGAAAATTAGGTTCTTGTTGTTTGTCTTTTATAAAAAATCAGGATCGCATAGTTATTTTGCTTTATGCAGATGGCCTCAAATAAAACCCAGCTATGAGGTCAACATTTAGGTTATTGAACCCCACTTCCAGCTGCGCAAAGAGGTTGTTGTAGAACTTTAACTGACCTCATGGTAAAACATGGTGGTGGCTGCTTCATGTTTTGGGGAGGGAAGTCGTGCAGATTTGATCAGATGGAACAAAATAAAGATCCTGGGAAAGAAAAGCCACTTCTGTGTGAGGCTATAGAATAGATGGGTTTGAGGTTTGCTGCTAATACAAACTACCTAAACATACAGCCTTTAGAAAAGTGGAATTATTTAGGACAAAACATATTAATATGGCAGTACCCGGTTTTGAGGGGAAGAATTGGAAAAACTGAGCTTCAGGAACACTTTCCATGTAATCTTACTGATTTTGAAGCAATTATACAACTTTTTTGCATATACTAAAGTCATATCCATTCTTCTATATTTAATTGTAAAAAAATATATATTTATATTAAGCCATGTATAATTTTGTATCAACTTTAGTTGTTGTGTTGGTTCGTCTCATAAAATGCTAGTAAAAATCAGATGAATTTTGTCAAATCGTGACAAAACAAAAGTTTTCAAGGGTTTATGATTGTTTTTGAGGGAACTGTAAACGGAGAGACTTAAGTAAAGTGCAGTATCTTAGCCACCCTGCCTTAATTCATGAACAAAGGTTTCAGTTGGTCAGTTTAAACACATTGAAAGTACAAGGATATTCACAGGGATACATGTGTGTTATTGTCTGTAATCCTCTTGTCCACTTTCTTCCCTCCCAGTTGTCTCATCCTTTCTTTCATTTACCTGTCAGTGTAGCATGCTGAATTGTCTCTGCATGCTGTTGTTCTGTATATCAGCTTGCTGCAAACATAACTCATGGTAAAACCTTTTGAGTCACCTTTTTCCCTTTTCCTCCTATCACTGAGCATGCCCTCTGCTGCCATCATGTGGCAGCGAGAGGTAATAGTCTGGAGCTGATTTACGGATGTTGGTTCAGGCATCCCTCATGTTCAATTTTGCTTGTGTATTTGCTGCCATGATCTGTGTCATGCAAATGTTAATGTCAGAATGTTGATAATAGGTAGCTGTGTTACTAGAGGTTGTCTCTGTGTTGCTTTTACTCTTGTTTGTTATTTTTTGGGTTAATGCTCTCTAAAACTATTGATGTCAGTGCTGTATGTACGGATATAAATGACAAATTGAGATATATATATATATATATATATATATATATATATATATATATATATATATATATATATATATAGTAACAAAGGTAGAAATGGTTTGTGGGGTATAGAAGGGAGACTTGAATAGGCGACGTCACAATCAAAGTCAACAAGTATGTTGAGCTGATTTGTCCATCATGTCCTGTATCGGAAGATTGTAGCCCATAATGGATGAACCACTTTTTCCACATTTCTGATAGCATTTCCCAAGTCCTCTTGGTCCAAAGCCTATCTTGTCTGCTAACATAGAAATCTACTGACTCTGGAAGTCTTGAATGTGACATTCTGAAGCATTTTTATATGTTTGTACAGTTTATTTTCATACACATCACCATCTGCCGACTTGTATAGATTTGATAACAGGCATTCAGTATTTTTCTACTGGGGCACAGATGATTTATTACATTAATGGGAAATTTTTAGGTTACAGACTTTTAGTTTTAAGCCCAAAACTTCCATAAAAGCCACCTCGGGTCAAACCTTCATGTTTTTTGTGGTGGTCACTGTATTGTTGCCATACTTCTAAACATTGTGCACCAGCCCTACTACAGTAATACTGTAAAGTTTATTTATTTTTTGGTATTTGAGTGCTCTAATTTTCACCCTTATGTCATTCTTGTGTTGTCAAGTGTGCATATTTTCTTCACTAGTTTTGTATCTCAGAGAGAAGACTATATTTTAACTGTTAGAGTGCGTGTTGATGTTTGTAACCAAAGTGAGAGTAAAATTACATGGTTAGTTACCTATAGTCATACACACTGCACTTTGTTTTACAGCAGATCAGTTTTACCCTACAGAAAACATCTATTGTTTCTCAAGTGGAGGTAATAGTTCACACTCCCTCACAACTTATTTTTCTAAGAAGATTGTAGTGGGCGAGGATTTAAAAGAAGTGACCAAACGACCTGACTAGGAATGAACTGTCTGTAGGTGCCGGCCTCTGTCTCAGTGGGTTTATCACACCAGCCTTTGTATTGCAGATCAGAATGTCAAACTGCTTTTTCTACGTCCATCAGCACAACAGCAGGTGCTCATCCGGTCACTCCTGAGCTTGGCAAAGGTCTGAAACATCAACTGCTCTGCTCCAAGAGCGCACTTCATATCATAGTACCTTTAGTAGGCACTGTTTGTATTATGAAACAGTTTTTGAAAAAGTATTTGTTTGGGTTTTTTCTTGTTTTTGGATAAAGATTTCAAAACTTCACGTTGACTTTTTGCCAGCCTGTCTGTAGCAAATGAGGACAAAGCACTGTCATTCTGCTTGTAATAAAGAATGAAAGAAAAACAAGATCTAGATTGAGTATTTTTATTCTCTTAAATGCTGGCCTGCACTTTAATTACTGCTGAGCAGGAGTACTACATATTTACATTGTCTCACTGTACGTCTACTGTACCCTTAAGGATCACGCATGCACAACAGCGTACCTAACAAGAATGTTAAAGCCTTGCTTTGTTTATTCTCAATTTATTTTGGGGTTATTTTATTCCCCAAAAAAAAACCTAACAGATAATCATGATTTAGTTTGATTTATTGCTTATTTTCACTATATGCCAGTAGTGTAAATAAACAGGATGGACATAAAAATGTCATCCACAATAAATGGCTAAAAATGCTAGGAAATGCTAATCTAAAGAGTGCAGGGGTCAGGTAAACAGAATCCTCCCTTGACATCTTTTATGTATTTACTTCTTATGAGTCAAGTTTCACTTTTACAGAAACTGCTGATCTGGGCTACTTTATGGTTAACATTAAACAAAAGAATGGAAAATAGTAAAGGGATGGAAAGAATAAAAATACTAGATGTTAACATAAAAAGCCAAAACTACAGTCATGAAAAAATAAAGATGCACCTGTAACTATATAGAATATATATATATATATATATATAATATATATATATATATATTTACACACACACACATAGTTGTTGTTTTTTCAATTAGGCTGTTGAAAACCACCCTTGAGTGCAATGGCAAGACACTTGCACAAGTCTCCCATCAAATGTGGCATAACAGAAGCATATCCCCAGTGCTGTTCGGCATAGGCCTGAACCACCTCAGCTAAATAACCAAAAAGACGGGCTATGGATACCGACTCAGGAACGAGGTCACCATGAGTCATCTCCTCCACATGGATCAAGCTGTGCGCTAAGAATGAGTGAGACATCAACTCACTGATCCATGCCAACTGGATCTACAGCACAGACATTGGGATGTCAGACTAGAGAAGTGTGGTCGGATGTTGACTACAAGAGGGAAGGTAGTCCACACACAAGGGGTCTCACTCCCAGAAGGAACAATAGCAGACATTGAGGACAGCTACAAGTACCTTGCAATCCCACAATCAAATGGCAACCTCGAAGAGGTGACAAGGAAAGCGGCTACAGTCAAATCCCTCCGACGAGAAAGGCAGGTCCTAAGAAGTCAGCTGAATGGCAAGAATACAGTAAGTCTCGGGCAATAAATAGTTACGCTCTACTCGTAATAAGATACCCTGGAGAAATAATAGGCTGGCCAAAAGATGAGGTACAGGCCATAGATGTTAAGAGATGAAAGCTCCTAAACATGCACGGAGGGTACAACCCGAAGCACCCTGAGACTGTACGCTAGCTGAAAGGATGAGGCTGAGGTCATGAGGGCCACTATCCAGGATGAAACATCCAAGATCCATAAGTACATCAAGAACAAGGCTCCAACAGACGACATGCTCAGTAAATGTCTCGGACAATGGGAACAGAAGATAAGGTGCTAGAGGTTCCATCATGGGAGGATAAGACCCTACACGGGATGTACCACCAAAACATAACTGAAGTGACAAATATCAGGAAATCCTACCAATGGCTAGACAAAGTCGGAATGAAGGACAGCACAGATGCACTCATCACGTCTGCACAGGAGCAGGCCTTAAACACCAGAGCAATAGAGACCTAGATCTAAAACACCAGACAAGACCCCAGGTGCAGACAGTGCAAAGAGGCCCCTGAGACAATCCAGCACATAACTGCAGGGTATAAGATGCTGGCAGGGAAAGCTTACATGGAGCGCCATAACCAAGTGGCTGGAATAATATACAGGAACATCTGTGCAGAGTATGGGCTGGAAACCCCTAGGTCAAAGTGGGAAACACTTTCAAAGATGGTAGAGAATGACCAAGCCAAGATCCTGTGGCGCTTCCAGATACAGACACACCGAATAGTAATGGCAAACCAACCAGACATTCTGGTGATGGATAAAAAACAGAGGAAAGCCATTGCGGTTGACATAGTCATACCAAGTGACTGTAACATCAGGAAAAAGGAACACGAGAAGCTAGAGAAATACCTGGGGCTCAGAGAACAGCTGGAGAAAACCTGGAAGGTCATCAGTGGTATCCATGGTCATTGGACATCTCGGCCCAGAAAAACGCAGTTCTAGGAACAGCAAAGATACTGCGCAGGACCCTCAAGCTCCCAGGCCTCTGTTAGAGTACCCAAGCTTGGAGGAAGAAAGGGGAGACCGCCCGGGGGGGGGTGAGGAAGAGTTTTTTTATAATATATATATACAGTGTTGTGCCTGAACGTGTTCATTGAACGAAAGTTCATGAACTCGTTCATATTTTGGGCGAACGTGAACTGAACGTACTGCATTATTGCCTGATGAACGTTATTGTGAACTCGTTCATTCTGGCGTCTGTGAACGNCAGAGAACAGCTGGAGAAAACCTGGAAGGTCATCAGTGGTATCCATGGTCATTGGACATCTCGGCCCAGAAAAACGCAGTTCTAGGAACAGCAAATATACTGCGCAGGACCCTCAAGCTCCCAGGCCTCTGTTAGAGTACCCAAGCTTGGAGGAAGAAAGGGGAGACCGCCCGGGGTGGGTGAGGAAGAGTTTTTTATAATATATATATATATATATATATATATATATATATATATATATATATAAGGTTTCATCATAGCACATCTCCCATGGAAGTTAAATGTTGCAGCCTTCTGACTGTGGAGGCATGCATCTGATTGATAGAAAGGGTTGGAGGTCCTTCAATCATGTTTTTAGGGTTTTTGGAGACATCTGTTTTCATCTACCAGGTATTTTTTTGCATGTAAAGATGTTGGCACACTACTTTTTTGTGTTTGTTTGTTTAATGGAAAAACTGATTTTCAGACTTAAAGTGCATAACTTCCAACTAAAGGCCTGGAGGGGGAGATTTAAGGTCTTACCCTTGGTAATACAGTAATAAGAATAAAGTAGAGTGCTACTGCGATTTGAAAATTGCAATTATTTTACAAATGCAATTAATTGCCATGCTCTAGTAGTAATCTACTATGACTTGAGAAATGATCTCGGTAGTTCAAAACAACCAATATTGGTAGAAATTGAGTGATCGTGTAACAACTATTAAAAAAAATACCTACCCATCCAAACTGCTTTGTAAGTATGGCAGGATTTAATCGTACCTATCAGGGTTCCTACGTTTGGCATACAGATTAATGAAAATGTCTAAACATTTGTTCCGATTTAACCTACTTTTGGCCCTCTACACAAACATTATAATAATCACCACTACTGACAGTCAGTGGATGAAATGTTTGTGATTTTGGGATTGGAGGATCCAGATGCCATTGAGACTCACAACTGCATAAAGAGTACTGTAAAAGTATTGTGGAAGTCTGTGTTCAGGCTGAGTCTTTTTTAGATACACTTCTGTGAATGATTTCCATTAATAGTGGCTTTATAATCCCAGATTGTTTTAATGAGAATAGCATTTCTGATCAACTGCTGACAATCAAGCACCAGAGTGGTCTCTAACATTACTGTGGTTTTTGGATCAGCTGTTATATTTTTCTCACTCACTGGGTGTCACTGTTGCATTAGCTATTTGTAAAAACCTGCAGTGCTTGTCATCACTTCCCCTCCCCCTAACTGTCTACTGGGGGTCTGCACAGGTTTGCACCATCATGCCTGCTGAGGCTGAAACATGCATGTGTGA